CCTCTTAGTCAAGTGGGTCTTATTTTTCTGTTTCCTCTAATATTGCAAGATCTACTGAAGTTTGCCACTAGTAGCAGAATTTGGAGTTTGAATCTAGTGTGATTAATAATGTTTGACATCAGATTAGAAATTTCCAGAGATGTTTAATGTAATTATGGGATTAATATTCTCCAGTTATGATTGTTGCTTGTCTCTCTTATTGAAAGAGATGACATTTCTGATCAAAGTTCTGTATAAACACAGTACAGGGAACCAGAGGTCAAACTAGAGCTTGGCAATATATTCAGAAGTCAAATGTCACTTTCATTCTTTGACTTGAAATGTCATTTCTTGGGGCTTGGGGGATGCCCACAGACTCTCCTTGCAGAGTCATCTTCTTGGAAAAGCTAGCCCCTGACACATCTTGAATCCTGCAGGTTGGAGAAAAACTTCCAGTCCACTTCTCTTCAATTTGGTGGCACAGTGTGTAACTTGCTCAGCCATGGACGACTGGTTTTTCCTGATTTTATGCACATCTTAATAGACCTACAGGGGAATTCCATTATTGAGTACAAAAATTGGTTGCAGTCTTAAGATTCTACTCACGACAGAGTTCTCCTTTTATCCCACTCCAACTTTTTCCACTCCACTGCTTTCTTGGGTCCTTAGTAAGTGGTTTGAATGCTAAACAAATGGAGAATTTTAAGCTGGAAACTGATGGAAGCTATTTTAAAGGGGAAAAAAAATCCTGAGAATTTCATTAAGAAGAGTACTTCAGTGATAGACAACCAATCAATGGTAGTTCAGGCAATCTGTTTTGCTGCATCAGCAGTGCTTAAAGGATTGCTTTCCTTGATAGAAGAAGTAAAAATCCTCCAAAAAATAAGAGGAAAGAATAGGGAACCAATACTGTGCCCCCATGTGCTAAGCATTTTACGTGTGTTCTTTCTTTTCATCTTTGCAGTAACTTTTCGAGCAAAGCGTTATGTCCATTTTATGGAGGAGGAAACTGAGGCCTAGAGAAGGGAAGTAATTCAACCAAAGCTCTAGAGCTTTCTGTGCGGGGCCATCCACTCTGTGCTCACTGCTAGCTCCCTTCTTTCAGCTTCACAACAACCTTGGAGATCCATGTTTTAAGTGAAGTTCTGAGAGTTTAAGTAACTTGTCTAAGGCCACATACCTAATAAGTAGTGAAACACTTGGATCCCAATGGAACAATTGCAAAACCACTTAGTTTATTAAAAAGCAGAGCGATCACTTTGCTGACAAAGGTCCATATAGTCAAAGCTATGATTTTTCCAGTAGTCATGTACGGATGTGAAAGTTGGACCAGAAGGTTGAGCACCAAAGAATTGATGCTTTTGAACTGTCGTGCTGAAGATCTTGAGAGTCCCTTGGACAGCAAGGAGATCAAACCAGTCAATCCTAAAGGAAATCAACCCTGAACGTTCATTGGAAGGACTAATGCTGAAGCTCCAATACTTTTCCAACTCATTGGAAAAGACCCTGATGCTGGGAAAGATTGAGGGAGGAGGAGAAAGGGGCAACAGACGATGAGATGGTGTCATCAACTTAGTGGATGGCATCATCAACTCAATGGACATGAGTTTGATAATACTCTGGGAGATAGTCAAGGACAGGGAAGCCTGGCGTGCTGAAGTCCATGGGATCGCAAAGAGTTGGACATGACTTAGTAACTGAACAACAAGGAAGCCTTTTAAATAGATTAGACAGTGATATCTCTATATCTAAGCCGCTGAATCAGATGTTTATACTAGCAAGATACATTGGAGTTGCTGACCCTATTAGAATTGTTCACCTCTAACTCCATGGCAACTATACAGAGTCTGTATTTTCTAGATACCTTATTTCTGTGCTAATAACATCCATGTGATCATATTATTCAGTGGAAATTTATGTAGTCACCTGCCAAGATCATAACTTCGTAAATCAATATTCTCCACGTGTTCCTAAAAGGTGAAATAGGTCTATATAGCGCAAACCGATCCCCTAGGTAATTTAGAGTCCCTTGGAGAGCAAGGAGATCCAACCAGTCCATGCTAAAGGAAATCGGTCCTGAATATTCATTGGAAGGACTGATGGTGAAGCTGAAACTCCAATACTTTGGCTACCTGATGCGAAGACCTGACTCATTGGAAAAGACTCTGATGCTGGGAAAGATTGAAGGCAGGAGGAGAAGGGGACGACAGAGGATGAGATGGTTAGGTGGCATCACCAACTCAGTGGACATGAGTTTGAGTAAACTATGGGAGTTGGTGATGGACAGAGAGGTCTGGCATGCTGCAGTCCATGGGGTTGCAAGGAGTCGGACACGACTGCGGGGCTGAACTGAACTGAACTGAGGTCATTTCAGTATTTACATAGGTGGGGTTTACAATTGTTTAGCCATTAAATCATGTCCCGCTCTCCTGCAGCCCCATGGACTGTAGCCCCCCAGGCTCCTCTGTCCAAGGGATTTTCCAGGCAAGAATACTGGAATGGGTTGCCATTTCCTCCTCCAGGGGATCTTCCCGACCCAGGGATCAAACCCTCGTCTCCTGCATTGGCAAATGGATTCTTTACTACTGAGCCAGTGGGGAAGCCACAGGATTTACAATAACCTCTTGTGAAAACTGATTCCTAAGTAGGTTAGTTCAGTGACTTGTTAATAGAAGTTCTGTTAAACTCACTCCCTTTTACTATAAGGGAAACTGAAATGGATTTAGTTCCTTCTGAAAAATACTGTGCTGTATTTAATCTTTTACTTTACTAGCTTATTTCTTTTTATGCTGAATCCTGTTTGTTTCCATTGCTTTAAAATCAGTGGTGACTTTTTCTTTTATTTCTTGGCGATCCTGATACCTTCAACCCTTTTTTTTTTCAGTTACCACCAGACTTAAATGAAGTTAAAGGTATTTGCAGTGTGGTCTAATTAACCCAGTTCCATACAGTACTGCTGCTGTGGCTTTTAATGGGTTCCTATAACTGTTTCCTGCTTACTCATCTTAAAAGGTTTCCTTTTAATGTGGTCTCTCTCTCTTGCTCTTTGTCCCCCCTTTCTGTCTTTAGAGCTGCAGGTTGTTTTTCCTCCTGATTAGCATCTTTTCACAAGTCACTGTTTTGTTTTTTTTTAATTTTTTTTTAATCTTTGTTTTTTTTTTTTTTTCCTTTTTTTATTTTTAACAAGTCACTGTTTTTGAGAAGTCTTCTAGAAGGCAGTCAAGATTAGATCACTGTGTTTGAAAAAATAGTAAATCTTGGCAGGAAGAAATTGAGGTGATTTGTGAGGCAGGGTCCTGTTAGATTACCTGCATTTCACTCAGCATTTCCAAATAGCAAACTAAACTGTGCAGTATTGATCGAGTTTCTGACCTCTCCACCTCAATGAAGCTGTTCATGAATGTACCTTGGGAGCTAAGTGGCTGGCTGTTCTGATGGTTACAGGTCTAGCGGGATTGGAGTACAGAGTTTCCAGACCGGGTAACTGAGAACAAAATATTTAAAACACACACTAAAAACAAACTGATGGAAGGAATTCCTTACTGAAAAAAGACAGACCAAAACAGGTTTGACAGTTTAAATTTATTGTAATCCTGTCCAACAAAGGAAGTAGACTTGGTTTATCTGCAAGAGCAGAACACCACCCTTGCTCCACCCTGTCTTGGAGAAGAATGATAAGCTGGTTGAAGCTGGGTGTAGTGGGATTAGAGAGACAGGCAGCTGAAATACTTCTTAAATGGGGTCCATTTTAGGAGTTCACAGATAGTCAGAAAAGTCAGTAGGATTAGCTGAGGAAGAAAGAAAAGTTGGGGGAGAAAGGGTCTAGTGATTCAGAGGAAGGAGTCAGAATCCAGACAGTTCTCCAGTCCCATTCCTGGAATCGGGCTTCCCGGTGGCTCAGACAGGGAAGAATCCGCCTGCAATGCAGAAGACCCCGATGGATCCCTGGGTGGGGAAGATCCCCCGGAGCAGGAAATGGCACACCGCTCCAGTATTCTTGCCTGGAGAATTACACGGACAAAGGAACCTGGTGGGTCACAGTCCATGGGGTCGCAAAGAGTGGGACACGACTGAGCAACACACACACACACAATCCCGGAATGTTATTTGTGTATACTGAGGGAGTGCAGGGAAAAAGGAGTCCGTATCTACTTAAAAATTAGTTCTCAGTTTACCAACCACTGGCCGGGTAACAGGTGGTCGTCTCCTCTCGCTGAGCTGAGTAGTTAGTTACTGCCTCCCTTTGGCGGGAGGTGGGGGAGAAAGCTCTGAGCTTCTACAGAGGTGGAGGCCTTGTTCTAGGCCACCCAGCTAGTGAGTGCGGGTGGCGGGACTGGAGACAGACACGCGGATCTGTGGACCCAGCGCCTTTGCTTTTTTCACCCACTACGCGGCAACGTGATTTCAACGTCTGAGAGTTTCTCGGCCGAAGAAGTCGGAAATCACCGGTTTCAGAGATTAGAAATCACCGGTTGTGAGCCCCTGGACTCCTTTCCCCAGCCACTCTGCTAGGTCGCGCTCGGCCTCTGAGTCCTTCTGTGTGTGCAGTACACAGCACCACACCTGGCCCCACGCCCACCGCGCAAGGCTGCGAAAGCCGCTCGGGCCTCCAAGGCTCCCCGGGCGGTGGGGAAAAAGACCCGCTCGAGCGAGCTCCGATGGCTGAGCAACGAAAAGCATGGTCCTTAAATTCAAAGCGGCGTTCGGCGCAGGGGAGCAACCTCAGGCTTCGGCAGAGCCCCCGTAATAACAGGGGCCGGCTCCGTTCGGAGGCGAGTGGTTTGTCCCTAAGAGCAGAGAGTGTGGCTGCTAATAAGAAAAAAAAAAAAAGATCGGCAGCGGGGAAGCCGGCGGCTCCAAGTCCCACCAGGGCCTCCTGCTTTCTGCAAGTCCTTCCGGACCCCCAGGCCACGCGGGCGGGGGACCGAGGGGGGGCGGGGGGCGCAGGGGGCGTGCAGTGGGCCTGCCCCTCCCCCGCCCCTCGCTCTCGGGTGTGGGGCGGGCGGGCGCTGCGGCGACCGCGGCTGCTGCTTCCTTGGGCCATTTTGCCGAGGAACGACCGGGGAGGAGGAGCGCCGCGGAGACCCTAGGCGAGGAGCAGTGAGCCGGAGGAGGCGGCGGCCGCACGGGGCACGGGCTTTCCTCGATTGCGGGGATCTCCCGGGGAGACGGGATCGCCGGGGAGGGGGACCGGAGAGCCGCGCCCCGCCGCGCGGCGCGCCCCTTCCCGCCCCCTGCACCATGAGCTGGGGCATTGAGCTCTGGGTGAGTGAGGGGCCGGGCCCGCTAGGATGCAGGGAGGTGGGGGAAAGGTGCCTTGCGCGCCTGGGCTGGGGGACACGGGCCGGGCCGCCCCCGGTGGGCGAGATCGCGCGCCTGTCGGTGGTCTCGGCGGCCCTGGCGGAAGGTGCAGGTCCGGATGCCTCTCGTTGGCCTCGGCTTGAGCGGGAGGTGCGCGCCAGATTCGCCCTCCCGAGGTGAGGGGGCGCTGGAGTGAACCGCCACCACCCCCCCTCCGGCGGCCAGAGCAAGGGCCGCTGGTGTGGGTCCCCCCAGCGGCCCGAGCGCGGGGCGCAGATCTGGGTCCCCGCACCTCCCGATCAGAGGCGCGGGCGGGACCCCCCTCTCCTTAGCGCGGCGGGCAGACTCAGTGGGGGCGTGGAAGGCCGGGGATTTTCAGGGCTGCGTTAGGTATTCGGCGCCCAGACCCGCCGTCCTCTTCTGCTCTCTGTCCAAGGAGGTGCGGGTGGGTCGGACGCTCTCCCGGGGGGCGGGGCGGCCCTGGCGGGGCCGCGTCCCAGGGCTTGGGTTTGGGGTTGCAGGGGTGAGTGAGAACTGGTGTCTTCCCTCTAGTGGCGAGGACGTTTGCCCTGTGGTGGTTTGGGGTGCGCTTGTGATTCTCCCAGGGGCAACTTAGATCTTGGATTTGATGTGGGGATTGCGGCGTTCGGCCTGGAGGGGAGAGTAGTAGGAGTTAGAGGGACGCCTTGTGTTGCCGCCTGCGGGAAGAGACATTAGCGGGGTCAGTTTTGTATTTTTTAACCGCTGGGAGGAAAGAGTCTGAAATACGGTAGGGAGCGCCCCGCCGGGATGTTTAACGCGGGACGCGGATGGATAAACAAGCGGCGTGGTGTCTGCAAGCTGCTCTCTCCCCGGACCCGGATGCCAAGGCGATGCACTGGCGGTCCTGGGGAGGAGAGGCTGTGGCTTGTGGACTGGGGCTTGTTTTCCTCTGGATTCCTTGCTTCCTCTGGATTTCTAAGGAGATCTCTGGGCAAGCGATGGGCAGAGCGGAGTGCAGAGGAAGAAGGAGATGAAATCTCAATTATTGCACCGAGACGTCCTCAAGATGAGACATTTCCCAGGAGGAACTCGAAAGTGCCTCCTTTCGGAATTCCATTTGTAAAGGGTGTGGAGAAGAAAGTGTGGGATGGTGGTTGCTATATGAGTGGAGGCCAAGAAATCTCACGTCAAAATAAAAGAAGGTTAGAGCAGCTATAGAAACAGAGGGCATCCTCCCTTAATTAATTTTTTTTTTTTGCTTTAATTGTTTTTACATAACCACTTCTTAGGCTCAGAAGCAGCTACTGTTATTGATACCAAAATTCTGAAGGCAGTAGTTCCCTTAAATGATAATTCATTTTGTAAACATCCTCTGTCTAAAAGGATCTCAAATTTTTGACTGATGTTTACAAATATTCATTCTTAAAGTAGCAGATGGTAAGTATTTATACACAGCCAGTTAGGCAGAGTCTACCATTTTAAGTGTTGGATTTCATTCCTCTTCCATTCCTTCTGCACTCCCTTTGCCTCTTTTTACCCTATCTGGGGGAACAAATCAGAATAAATTTTTATCAACAGAATAGAAATTTTGGCACAATTTTTATTTTTACTTGTTCAAACAAGAGAAGGGGTTTATTGGGAGGGGGGAATACAAATATATTTCCAAGTGAAATAGGCTGTAGTTTAGGGATTGAACACCATGGTGGCCATTTCATGGTGATGTTGGTGAATGTTACAGAAGGTGATCCAGAAAGGGATGGGCAGAGGGATAGTAGTTATGAGGAACCACCAGCTAAAATAGCCTCAATCCCCTGTGTTATTCTGTGCACTTCTTTTGGCAGGTGGAGGGTGGAAAGGAAGGCAAAGACAAGTTGTTGAAAATCAGTAGGAACTGGGATATATACAAGTAAAAGGAAACCTTAGATTTGCTTCAAAAGAGTTTGGGGTGGTAGTGGATGGGAATGTGGATGAAATGAAATTGCTGAAGAGCTGGTCACTGCTGACCTGGGTGAGGGGTATAGGAGCGCTTGTGATACTAGGCTTTCTACTCTCTAGGATTGAAATTTTCTACAGTGAAAATAATTGGAAAAGATTTTTAAGGGAGAAGGTGTGTAAAATACTTGAAATTTTTTCTCACTTGTTAAGGTTTACAAGAAAGAACTAGTTATCTGTTGTTTCTAGGAAGGACCTGTCCATGAAGAGTTAAAAAAAGAAAAGAAAAAGGCATTCTACTACAGTATCGCCCTTTGCCCTTGAGTGGCTTAGAGGTTAATAGAGGGAAAAGGATGGAACTTGTAATTTGTACTAAGAGAAGTGCAAAATCTGAGTTTAAATTCCAAGAAGCATAAGGGCACCAAAATGTCTGTTTTCAGTTGCCTCATTTCATTAAAATTTGAGATTAAAAAAGAAATTAAAAAAACAAAAAGAAGAAAAATGTGAGATTAAAAAATGAAGAATTCTGAAAAAAATGAAGAATTCTGAAAAATGAACCTCCAGTTCTCTGGTGGTTAGCGACTCCGTGGTGTGGTGCGTGGGGCCGCCTGGCAGAGCCCTGATTGAAGGTTTTCCCTGAATGGTGGCTGTGGGATCTTGCACAGGGGTAATGAGATAATGACGGGGCACTCAAGCCTAACTTGGCAGAATGATGCTTCTAGATGGAGAGAGATGGAGCTCTGGTTTGGATGACCATGAGTTCTTTGCGACAGGTCTTTGCAGCTTTCACAGACCTTTGCAAACGCCATCAGGTTTTACGAACGTTTTAGGACGCTGGTCAACGTCCCTGTAGGCTTTTCAAAAGGACACGTTTCTAACGTGCACTTTACATTAAAGTTCTGTTCTTAGCCACATCCTGCTTTGTAGAAAGTAAAACCGTTCTCTTCTCTTTTTTCTTTTAACCTCTTCATCGGCATAAATTTTGACATTCCTGATTGTGAGAAATCAGGAAATGTCAGGAAGTTCTCAGGCAATCATAAAAATGAACTCAAAACCCATAATTTGTAATAACTTTACTAGGTTTTGTGAAAATTGGGGCTTTCTATTTTATATCAGTAGGTTGTAACAAAGTATAAAATGGCTGATTTGAAGTGATGGGGTCATTACAGAGTATTGAGCAGATGGGAATAGAATGTAAAAAAGAGTGGATGTATCAGTTTATATATGTATGACAGATTCACTTTGCTGCACAGCAGACCCTAACACAATATTGTAAATCAACTATACTCCAATAAAAATTAATTTAAAAATTCAAAAACAAAGTAACTAGGATATAACAAAATTATTTCTGTACATCTCTTCCTAACTTGTATTTTAGTAAATTTTTAACTTTTTTATTGAACAGCTACTGTATGTAAGACTGATAGGAGCCTGTTGTTTCACTTTATATACTTTGAAGGGAATCTGCCTATTTCAGTGAAAGCATGTAAAATCGGGTTTAACTCTAGCCTACAACTTCAACGTCAAAAAAGAGATTTGTTTCCAAGATTAACCAAAATGCATTTACTCAAGACTTTGTTTAAAAGGTCATGTTAAGAGGCTATCTAGTTTGTACTGACTTGTTGAAGTTGTTTCTGGTCATTGGAGAAATGGCAAAGCAAGAATTTCTTTTGAATTTTTTGGGGTTTTGTATCTGCATATTAAAAAGAAGTAAGGCATTATTGAAGTGTCAGCTCAACTTTTTCTAAGCTTGATCATTAATGTGAAGTAAAAATAAATCCGTTAGAAATTTTAACCTGCCTTATAATGGTCTATTCTTTGTGGCTAATAAATTACTAAGTGATAGAATCTACTTTTATCTCCTAGTGGAAATGGCAACCCACTCCAGTGTTCTTGCCTGGAGAATCCCAGGGACGGCGGAGCCTGGTGGGCTGCTGTCTATGGGGTCGCACAGAGTCGGACACGACTGAAGTGACTTAGCAGCAGCAGCAGCAGCAGTCCTCTCTGCTGTCTTTATTTTTCTTTTGATGCTAATAAGAAATGGAACAGCCCAAAATAATAACAAGAAAGTAGAGACCCAAATAATACAGATTGGTTAACATATTACTGTGTTAAGCCACCTGTGTTAATGGTACTTAATCTTTTAAAAAACCTGTTGTTTTTAGGAAAGTGCCAGGTGTATCACCACGTTTTCCACAGTTTGTTGCTATAGCAACATTGATTGTGGTGCTCACTTCTAAGAGGCAGCAGTGAAAGTTGTCAACCAACTGGATCAGGAACAATGCCTGCCTCACAGTAGTAGTTCAAGAAATAACATTGAATAAATGAGTGAATCCTTTTTTTTTCTTTTGTTTTAACATTTGCTATTTTAAAGTAATGGCAGGGTAGTTTTAATGCCTTTCTTCACTTTGGCAATGTAAAGATTAAAAAAAAAAAATCCAGGCATCTTTTTGTAAAAAATAGACTATTTAAAAAATTTTTGATACATATTTATTTGCTTATTTATTTGGCTGTGCCAGGTCTTAGCTGCAGCTTGCACTCTTAATTGCAGCATTTGGGATCTAATTCCCTGACCAGGGATGAACTGGGGACCCCTGCATTGGGAGCTTGGAGTCTTAGACACTAGACCACCCGGGAAGTCCCAATAGATTACTTTTTAGAGCAGTTTTAGTTTCACAGCAAAAATGAGCAGAAGGTCCAGAGATTTCTCATATACTCCTTCCACACAAACACAGTCTAGACCATTTTTTGTTTTTTGGCCACCCAGGAGACCTGTGTGTGGAAGCGTGCATGCATGCTAAGTCAAGTCTCTGCAATGCTATGGACTGTAGCCTACCAGGCTCCTCTGTCCATGGGATTCTCCAGGCAAGGGTACTGGGGTGGGTTGCCATTCCCACCTCCAGGGGATCTTACCAGCCCAGGGATGGAACCCCTATCTCTTCCATCTCCTACATTGGCAGGCAGATTCTTTACCACTGCACCTCCTGGGAAACCCATAAGAACACTTTATAGTGTGTTAAAATTTTAACCTAGACAATACTGATTCTTTT